GAGACATCACTCCCATCTCCCTTTAAACTACCTTTCAACACTAGGCAAACTCAGTTTGTGGGAATGCAAGTTAGCATAGCCAATATGGAGGACAGTAAGGAAGTTACTAAAATATGTAAAAAGAGACATACCAGATGATTTGGCTACCTCACTCCCGGGAAAGCATCTGAAGGAAATAAAGCCAACACACAAAAGTGATATTTATAAAGGAATTTCTGCATATATAGATTTATTGTGATACTGTTATCATTAGAGAAAATTTGAAATTGATCAATTGTCCTAGAATCGATTAAAAGTAGTGATGAACTGGTCCATATATGTATATATGTCTGTGTATATATACCTATAGATGTACATATATACATATGTATGTATACATATGTATGTATACATATGCATGTTTACATATGTATATATGTACATCTATATGTATATATACATGCATGTATACAACATATTTAAAGAAACATGAAATTCTGTAATCCGCAGCAAAATGAATGGAACAGGAGGACATTCTGTTAAAACAGGCAAAACAAAAGGCCATTATGTATGGTCTTTCTCATTCAAACAAACTTAAAACATTTAAAATAGAAGAGTAATTATGTGGGCCTGAAAAGGGCTCCAGATGAGGAGGCAGGAGGGTGAGCACAGGGGAAAAGTAGAAGGACGTGAACAATGTACATAATAGATGTATATGGAGAATCCCAGAATCTTATTATTAGACACTGCTAAAATATGCTAATACAATAGATATAAGAAAAGTAATGACTAAATCTGAAACAATGAATCTGCTCTTTGTATTATACACAATTCCTGGTGGTAGCTCATACATCTAATACTAGCTATTCTGGAAACTGACATCTCACGGTTCTAGTTCAAAGTTGGCCTGGGAAGGAAACTTTGTGAGACTCTTAGCTCTAATTAACCACCAGAACACCATTACTGGAACTGTGGCTCAATATGTTGGAGTGCTAACCTTGAGCAAAAGAACTCAAACCCCAAGACTGCACTAACAATAACAAAAACCCATTGCTGCTTAGAATATCTATTACTTGTGTTATTGTTTTATGAACCTCAGGTGTTGACATAATTCACACTCTTCAGGTCTATATTGTCTATATGTGACCATC